TGTTGATTGTATGCCGTTAGTCCCACTATATGTATATCACGTGTTCTTGTTTATTATTATATCAGTTACCTGATGGCGTGAGCATCTTCTCGTACTAACCTAACCTTTTATTTATTATTGTTCGCACACGCCAGAAACCAAGCTCTGTCTTTTTTATCTTATTCAGCAACAAAAATCCCAATAAATTTTCAGCCTAAAAATAAGTGGGAAATACTAATTATATTCATACAATATGCAAATGGTTTGTAATAAATTTTATTAACAATTAAAAATTAGAACATCTAATTTTAATATAACATAACAAATAGACCTTAAAATCTCGATGAACTACTCTTTGTTGATGCAGATAATGAACGGCAAGTACAATCTGACGGAAAACTCTTCGTGCCTCTGGTTCTACCATTCTATCATTTCGAACAAGATGATCAAACATTTCACCACCAGGAGCATATTCTGTCACTAAATATATCATTTTCTCTGTTTCCGTTACTTGGTACAGTCTTATAATATGTGGATGTCGTAATCTTTTCATTATATGTACTTCACGAAAAATTTTTGCTAAATTTTCCTCATTTAGTTTCCTCATTTCAAGTTTATTACAGTTTTTTAAGATTAATTTGGAGAATTTTGGGGGGATTATTACATTTCAGATTAATTGCATTAATGTCGACAACCATATCGACACGTAATTATTATTTCTGAAGTTAATTCATTCGTTCGAATAATATATATATTAGTTCAACATCTTAATACTTAGACCGTAGTGGCGCTTCGGATTATAATGTTATTTAATATAAACGGTCTTGTTTCCTATTTTCTTGTTTATAAACGCGCGCTGAAATAATGCGTTACTCTCGATACATATCGGTTATTGCGAAAAATTATTGCTAAGATCTCAGTAGTCTAAAGGCTCAGGACGCTCGCACGGAATGCAAGAGATCCGGGTTCGACTCCCGGCCGAGGCAATATTTTTTCGCAATAAGTTTATTACAGTTTTTTAAGATTAATTTGGGGAATTTTGGGGGATTATTACATTTCAGATTAATTGCGTTAATGTCGACAACCATATCGACACGTAATTATTATTTCTGAAGTTAATTCATTCGTTTGAATAATATATATATTAGTTCAACATCTTAATACTTAGACCGTAGTGGCGCTTCGGATTGTAATGTTATTTAATGTAAACGGTCTTGTTTCCTATCTTATTGTTTCCTCATTTAGTTTAGTTTTATCTATTATCTTTATAGTAACCTATAACAATATAAACACAATGTCAATGTAACTTAAGGATAAATGGTATGCAAAAGATTCCAATTAAAAAAAGTAAGTTTTGAAAAAAAACTACAACTTGTTAACTCTTAATACACACCGTAGTTTTGGGCACCCTTATTATATATGTTCGGTTCATTAGTATTCTCGATTAATTTTCATTACTCTTACAAGTATATAAAAATTGTTAAATAATTTTTATGTATATTTTGACATCTTTAGAAAGTAATTGTACAATTGTATATTCATAACAAATTGTAGATAAATTGTTATATGCGCAGCGCGCATTATAATTTATAACTAAATATAGTTAACAGAATAAGAAAAATATACTGTTCCATAGAAAAATGTAAAACTCTGAAACAAAAAAATTTAAAGGAAAAATATGATTTAATATCTTAAATTGACATTTCAAATTATAAAAAAAAATGGTTCAAATATTGGTTATCCAAAAAATTTTATTTTATGTTATTGAGTAACCCGAAAATAATGTTTTTTTAATATGCATAAATGGCTATAAATTGAAGATTTTGCATTTACACATATTTTAAACAATACATTTTATTATTGCTATAGTTTTAAAAAAAACTTATAATTTATTAGGAAAATATTCTTTATAACATTACAGATATAATATAATATATAATATTACTGACATTTAACACAAAGATGCCAAAAACCATTATGTTTTTAAAGACTAACGTTGTTCTAGGTTAAAGATAAGTTGTTCTATCTGTTAAAGATTAACGTTGTTAAATTCTTTTTTTTTAATAATTCGCGAAATATTCTCGCAATCAAGAATTAGTTGAAAATAAAAAAAAAATAAAAATGTTTTAATTACAAAAAATGTACACTCTATATACACGTTGAGTCATTTGTAATCCAGAAATGAACTTCGGAGTTATGTCAGTTAAATGATACATACGAATTGAGGTCGACAATGCACAAACTTGTTCTCTAGATGTCAAATTTTTTTTAGAAATAGAAAAGTGATCGGTATTTGACTAGGTACTCTTATTTCAAATAAAAAAAATGCGCAGAATACGTATGATCTAAAGATATGTATTAAGGGTTAATAATGCAGTAAATTAGGAGAAAGAAAATAATGTAAATAAATAAATATTTATATAATCTTATGCGTATTTATTTAACAAATTAGTTTTAATAGTCTCCGGTCACATTATTATAAGAGAAACAAATAATGTAATTTACAACAGCTAAGATAAGATTTTTAGATCTCATTTTGGTAAATATTTACCTTTACATAGCCAGCACCAATGACTTTCAAATAATCTTGACATTAACCTTCATCCTGAAGGATGTTAAGGTCATCAACTTTTTCTATCGTTTGTTGTTCATTGACAAGTTATTAACAAAACAATTTTAATAAATAGCACATAATTTTTGAACATAAGATACAAATTTCTGAACTCTTTCAGACAGGGAGGAGTGAGGGAGGAACCTTAAATAGCATGGAAAATCAAATGCATGAGAAAAAATTTGGAACAGCTGACTCCTCAGCGACGAAATCATACCAACTTGCTACAAGCATTGACTCCAGTGTGAAGCACGACTCTAACTTGGCAGTGACAGGATTCGACTTTTCGCGAGTTCTTCTAACCATTTAATGAGGCGCACATACTCTACTGATGCATGCTCCACAGATGACGATACATATCGCATTGCACCATGTATTTTATTCGTATACGAATGAAAACCACAACACATCACTTTACGCTAGAACCGGGATAGCTCCAGCGTGAGCGCTACGGGGTCAGTATGCATCCGATTCGTGCCTACTCCAGGAGTTCCGAATAAAAATTTTCATCCGAGCAAAGGTACCTTTGGGTAATATGACGTTCATTTAATTGTTCAGATTATTAAAATTAATAACATAAAATAAATTAATAATAATCATTATGTTGTTTGAGTAATTCTCATTAATAAAATTCATATATGTATTATCGTTTCGTTTTTTACATTAATATATTAATTATTATAAAATAATAAGGCTCAATAAATCAAAATAAGTAAAAGTAAAAAGGGCTACGAGCCTAAAACATAAATTGACAAACTGTATGAGTAGTTAAAA